CTGTCGGGGAAGAAGTGACAGACAGAAAAGTAAGGACACATGTTATTCTGCGTTTTTTGTTTTGTTTGTTTGTTTGGCACGACATCCCAGTTTAATGCATTTTATTGTTTAAGTGATGAATGTTTGTGTCGCTTCGTTTTGGTGCTGAAGGGCTACATGGGCGTGTCAGGCTTGGCTCGCTGCTCAGGCAGCGGCGGTGGCGCTGCACACCTTATTAAACTGTTCTGTAAATCACTTTATTCAATGGTTTCAGGATATCAGGTCAGTTAACAAACACACAAATGGGATAAAACTGCCTTATAGTTATGTTTGATTTAGATGCTGCCCATTCAATCACTCGCGCGTAAGAGGCACAATATGGAAAGCCTTAATGCCTAACGGTGTTCATCTTGCACATTGTGTTTAGCAGGAAACCAAAGTGTGAAAGTGACAAAGTGACACGAGTTGAGTATAATGAAGCCAGCAGCAGGCGTTGCCCTCTTGTCTCCCCCTTTTTTAAATGCTCCTGGCTTTGCGCATAAATGAGCAACTTCGTGTGTAAGACAAAATAGGCAAAAGATGGACTCGGTGTTTACAAGTGTGTTTTAAAGTCCAAATACATGCAATTCCTGAAGTTGCTTTCCTCCATGGTTGCACCTACGCTGTAACTGCGCTTTGATGTGCGCCAAAGCTCGATCAGCTGTGTGAAGTCAGCCAGAGAAAGTCGCGTTAACACCGGAAATTAGACCGTACTGCCTTCAAAATTAAAGCTTTGAACAGTCATTGAGAGTTTCCTTTGTCTTTTAGGAGACAAAAGAGGCGAAATGAAAAGTATATGCAAGGCAGGAAAGCCAGCAGAAGGTAGGCTGTGATGAGTAGCCTATGAGTAAAATGTTGAATTGTAATGTAGCCTACTGTACATGCAAAATTTGGTCATGGGCCTATACAACACGCCTGTTCTATATTTAGGTATTTTATAGTCGCTTAGGCCTCTATGACTAAAAAAATAACATTTTGGAACAAAGGCCACTTTGCTTTCTATTGCATACATTACTACTATACTTGGAAATGAATTAATAACGGACTTTATTTTGGAGGCTGTAATGAGTCACAGACATTAATGTTGCTGACTTGACACCGGTGGCGGAGACCGGAGTCACCGACGCCTTTTGTTACGAGGATCGACGGTGGCGCACAGACGCACCGACCGGAAAGGGCGAGGCGCAACGAAACAGACAGCTTGGTGTCTGTGAGAAACGGGATCACCCTCCCTCTTTGTCAGCAGACAGCCTGTTACCTCTGTGGTCATGCAAATATTGCAATTATCAATATCACCGTTAAAGATAAAACCCGCGCTCCAAATTCCATTAAAGACTCGTAATAAAAGACTCTGGTTAATGTTCAGCTAAACAGAACAGAAATGATGCGGTGATGTGCAGAGAACTGCTTGTGGCTTTCTTACATTGCGCGATGAGTCACAGGCCTATATGTCTGTCTTCTGCGTGCATGCCATCACCAGGGTAACGTTTTTGTAAGGCAATTAAACTACACAGCCAAAACATTACACCTCATCCAGTTATGACTGGCGCTCTTTGTTGTAAGATCCACATTTTCTCACATCAACCTGTGAATATATCTGTGGACAACCACGGAGATGCATGTGTGCTACATGGCCAGAATCAGTGCATCTGGCTGGGAGTGGCACATATGTCTGTCAAGTCTATGTCCATATGGACGGGGAATCGGTGTAATAAGAATATAATCGCTGACAGGTCCAGCAATAGCAGCCAGGAATCAGACGGTTAGGACCCTTGTCCTAAAACACTTCAGAGCTTGTACACACATATGCACAGATATGCAGCTTGTCATCAAGGCCTCACTCCCACATCCCCTTGCAGCCCTTATAGATTTAAAAGCCAGTCTTCTGAATGCATTGAGATCTTCTGGCAGCAAACTCAGGGGGGGGAATGTGCTGACCCTGATGGTGCAGGGTTTTTGGGAGTCAGTCTCTGTTTCTCTCGCTCTCTCACACACACACACACACACACACACACATACAATAATGGGCGTGTCTGAATGTTCACTCCCCATACAGTTTGAACACATTCAGTCAGATAATGCAACAGAACCATTTAATGTTTATTTCATGTCAGACAATACCTAACCCTAAATGTGAGGTCGTTCTTCTGTACCTTGTGCTGTAGTATTAGAAACAGTGCAAAGTTGATCAATTCTGCATTTGCACCATTGTTTCCCTCTCTGTCTGTCTTTTTTTATTTTTACTGCTTTATGCCTCTTATGTTTTTATACGTATTTATTATCCGCTGCATGCTTTCTATTGTATTTCAATAACTGCTGCAAAACAAGCATCCCTTGGCAGGAGAGCAAAGTTGAGTGAAGTAATGCTACAGTGAACTCACCCGAAATGACCTAAGCGGGAGTGAGGGGAAAAGCGTAACAGTGAGTAAGCCAGGACAGAGGGAAACTATCACAAATCACACTGAAATTCCCCTGACACCAAACATCAGCACTTTTTTTTTTCTCCAGACCTGCTTTTTTCCACTTTTCATGCTCTCCCTCAGTGAGTTTTGGTAAGATCTGACCCATATGTTCTCAATTACCTCCCTCTGTCCCACATTGTCAGTCTGGTATTTCCTCCCTCCCTCTGTCCCTCCATCTATCTATCTTGCCTTCCTTCACATTATTTCTTGATTCTTCCTCTGTCAGTTGCTGTCAGTGTCTCTCTCTATCATGCTGCCCTCCCTTTATGCCACTTCCTCCCTTTCACCATGATCACAACATTAATACTTTGCATGGCCTGTTGACAGTTTCGGTTAAAGAAGAAACTCAGATGTTTCTGTTTTGCTTTTTTTTTTTTCCTTTTGTCCTCGAGCTTGTCCAGTGTGGTTTTTCCATAGATTCTAGAAATTTCTGAGATTGAATGCTGCATCAAGGCTTCTAATATTAATGTAGTTATAAAAGCAAGCTGTTAATGATATTCTGTTAGCATGATGTGATTTGCATAATTAGAGGTGCAGTCAAATGCAAAAAGCTGCATGTAGAGGATCCTGTTGCAGACTTTGCTAAGCAGGGCGTGGCTTTTATCTTAAGATCCTCAGTGTCAAAGCACAATAACACCTACACGGACACCAGAGAGATATTGTGTTTCCTTTTAATTACATTTACAAGAGCTGTGTGGGCCATGTTGGTTTTACAGCCTATGTCTTCTGCTTCAACCTGACTCAGGAAAACTATACAAGTTTTGCTCATTCTTTTTTTTTCTTTTTCTTTTTGCTGATATTTTTTTTGCTGCAATCATCAAAACTCCAAGCCATGATGCAGCTGACTTGGAGGCCTGCATACCCCAGAACTGAATCACCATCTGATTAACTCCATTCATATCCAAGTTAACTGGAAGTGCCTTTGTTCGGTGCCTCTGCGCTCCTGACCCCAACTGTGACTACATTTAATGCAGTGGCATGAAGACTAATAAAGAGGTGCCTGTGTGTGTCTGTGTGTCACACTGTGAATGTGTTGTAACAGATGTGTCACAAGGCTTGTTCTCTTTGCCTTGAATGTTCCCTTACCAGTTTCTGTGTGACTGAAAGTAGCTCATATGCTTTATGTGGGGGCGGAACAATATCTGCACATGCATTTGTGTTTCCTGTAAAAGGTGCGCACTCCCCCGTCTATCGATATGTGTCAAACTGTACCCCCAATTAAACCGGTAAGACTAATGAGTTTGAGAACTCCAAGAGTAAAAACAAAGGGAGATGTAGATGGGAGAGAGCAAGTCTGCATGAATCAAATCAAATCAAATCAAATTTTATTTGTATAGCGCCAAATCACAACAAAAGTCATCTCAGGACACTTTACAAAGTAAGGTCTAGACCTTACTGTTATCAATATTATTACATAGGGAAAACCCAACAAATCCCCCTTGAGCAAGCACTGGGCGACAGTGGGGAGGAAAAACTCCCTTTAACGGAAGAAA